GTTACGAAGGGCTATGCACAGGAGGAAGGTATTGATTACAATGAGGTTTTTTCTCCGGTGGTGAAGCACTCTTCGATTCGGATTTTGCTAGCTTTGGTGGCACAGTATGGTTTGGAGTTAGATCAGTTGGATGTGAAGACGGTATTTTTTCATGGTGATCTTGATGAAAAAATATATATGACTCAGCCATTGGGATTCCGAGCTGCAGGGAAAGATAAATTGGTTTGCAGGTTAAAGAAATCGCTATACGGTTTGAAGCAATCTCCTCGACAGTGGTATAGGCGATTCGATGGTTTTATGCTTGGTCATTCGTACACTCGGAGCCAGTTTGATCCTTGCGTGTATTTTCGCAAGTTAAGAGGAGGTGCGTACATTTATTTGTTGCTTTATGTCGATGACATGTTGGTTGCTTCAAGTTCCAGGTCAGCTATAGATGAGTTGAAGATTCAGCTTTCGAATGAGTTTGAGATGAAGGACTTGGGCGAGGCGAAGCGCATTTTAGGGATGGAGATCGGCAGAGACAAGAAGAAGGGCAGAATTTGTTTGACACAGGTGGCTTATTTGAAGAAGGTTCTACAGCGATTCCATGTTAGCATGGATACGAAGCCAGTTAGTGTACCATTGGGAGCCCATTTGAAGCTTTCAGCTGGTCTTTCACCAAAGTCAGTTGAAGATCGAGAGTTGATGTCGAAGACTCCATATGCGAGCGCAGTTGGGAGCTTGATGTACGCGATGGTCGGTGGCTTTGTCTACGATGGAGGCAGAGTATATGGCAGTTACGGAGGCTGTGAAGGAGGCTATTTGGCTTCGAGGACTTTTGGAGGAACTTGGTATATCGCAGCGGTCCGTCACCATTCATTGTGATAGCATGAGTGCTATCTATTTGACAAAGAATCAGATTTTTCATGCGAGGACGAAGCACATTGACGTTCGTTATCACTTCGTTCGGGATGTTCTTGAAGATGGCGATGTGGAGATTGTGAAAGTCCACACAAAGGATAATCCGGCGGATATGCTCACTAAGGTGGTTCCGAGCAACAAGTTTGATCATTATCGAAACTTGTTGCACATTCGTGATTGTTGAGGCCGTTGACGGCCATTTGGATGAACTACGGGCGGCTTGATCCCTTGGGAGAGGGGGTACGTAAGCAACCACATTGGTGAAGCCGAGTTTAGAGAGACGACACATTGGTGCTCATGTTGGTGTTGGCTCAGTATTGGGAACACTTCGCCGAGGTGGAGAATTGTAAAAACGGCGAAGGAATTGTGAAAAATGTGAAGAATAACCCAAAACAGACTCCACCACACCCTGGTGTGGTGTCTGCCATGGGTGTGGTAGAATCTGTCCTACACCACACCCTCTGCCACACCCACGGTGCAGGGTGTGGCAGAATCTGTCATGCACCACACCCTCTGCCACACCCATGGTGCAGGGCGTGACAGACTCGTTTTTAGAATCCTCCTTTGTATGGGAATCCTCCTTTGTTTGGAATTGTGTTTTATTATAAATAGGACCACGTTTTTTAGGGTTTCTTAAGGAGAGAAAAGGAGAGAATTAGCATTGTTTTGAGCACTTTGAGAGTGAGATATTGTGAGGGAGTTGAGAGTTTTGGTTAGGGTTATATTTGAGTGATTTTGTGAGTTGTAACCCAGTGAAATCTCTCCATCCTCTCCCCGTGGACGTAGGCAATTGCCGAACCACGTATATCTCTGTGTTTGGTTGATTTGTCGTAATTGGCTTGGTTTGTGCAAGTGTGTGGCTTTCTTCTTCCGTGATCTCAAGTTCGTTGTGTGTGCGTGCAACGCTTCCGCATAGGCGCGCGACAGGTTGAAGTTGGTCGACCGAACCACGTAAATCTCGGTGTTCTTTTTCTTGATTGTGGTTGTTCTATCTTATTGATTGGGGTTGGCTTCCGAGTTGCGCATATCGTGGTAGGCGGGGAGACTGAAATTACCCAACACTAAGGGCCAGCTGTTCAGTTGGATGGAAATGAGTTGCAAATGTAAATAGAACAATCAAATTTGTAAATGTATTATTTGGTTTATAACTTTATAATTAGAAAAGGTAAATGAGCTTGCATTTCATAAAAAAAAACTTGTAATAAATGCTACAACCAATTTGATAGAAGGAAAAACTACTGGCTTCAAAAAAAGATTTAAAAAACAAAGAAATTTTGCATCATCAAAAATTCTTTTTAAATCCAAGCAGAAAAACAATCTACACAAAAGAGTTTCCTTACGTGCCGAAATTTTGTAGCATTTGTCTAATCCTTTTTCAACCAAACACTAAAATTGCATTTGGACATATATTTTCTATAATATAATTGCAGATATTGAAATATCTAATTATAGTTGATTTCTTATAACAAATGTGCTACGTGTAACATTAGTTGCTAAATATTTGCTGCAATTTGTTTTTTGCATACATCACATGTCTCGAGAGGCTTTTTGGGGTTGTGGGCGGATTCATTTTTTTCGGAGGAAATTTCAAGCTAGTGATGGAGTAAATCTAATTATAATAACAAACTAAACAAATAATTATAGAACCTGGAATCAATCTAATTATAATAACAACTAAACAAATAATTACCGAACCTGTTCTGCAATTATTTATAATGTAAGTGCACATTGGCTTACTTATATAACTACTAGTATAATGCACGTGCTTTGCACGTGGACATTTTGTTGTATTTAATATTATATTATTTAATAAATTATATATAAACATTTTACAAAGTTATTTAATTGCACTATGATTAAATTTTTTTAAGTTATACTATAATTAATACTCATACTATTATTAACATACATTTAATAGTTATTAAAATTACCTTATTATTATATTGTTAAAAAATTTATTTAGGAGTATAATTATTAAATAATAATGTAATCATTAGTTTAAGTAACACTATTGATATAATTAAACCATTTATATTATTAAATATTTATATTATGGACATATTTTACTGTAACATTTATTAAATAATGACAGTAATTTTTAATATTATGTGATTTTATGTTGTAAAATATATTACCTTGCTCGATAATTAATATCATCTTAGTAATAAAAAAATTAAATGATATAAAATTAAAATACTATTATTTAAGATACGTACTTTATATAAAAATATTGGATCCTTAAAATTTATGAGACATTTACTTTACAAAAAAAAGTGAATGACTCATAGATTTCAAAAATCTAATATTTTTATATAAAGTAACTTTTCTAAATAAAAGCATTTTTAATTCGTAATGTCCAATTTTTATTACTAAGATGATACTATAATATTGAAAAGGGTGATATTCCTTACAATATAAATGATCAATTCCTATTTATACTATTATTAATAACTATAATTATGTACAATATTTTATTATATAAATAATTTTACTATTTCATTACAATTAATAATTTTTTTATAATGAATTATAATATATTTATTAACTTTATTACCATTATAAATTATTAATATATTCTAGCGAGTGACCAAATATTTTGGGAAAAAGAAGAGAAAAGTATATGTCTCATAAATTTCATGGATCCAAATATTTTTATATAAATTAATTTTCAAAATAAAAATATTTTTAATTTATAATGTCCAAATTTTTATTACTAAGATGATATTAATTATCGAACAAGGTGGTATTCTTTGCAACATAAAGAAGTAACCCCTATTTATACTATTATTATTAGTTATAATTATGTGCATTAATTTATCAAATGAATGACTTTTACTATTTTATGTAATTAATTATTATTTATAATAAATTATTATATATTTATGAATTTTGTTATCTTTATAAATTATTAATATATTCTAGTGAATGACCAAATAATTTGAGAAAATGAAGAGGTGCATAGTTAATGAAAGGTTATGAATCATTAGTTTTATAAATAATGATATAATTGTGAGAGATAAAAAATTGAGAGGGTAAAAAGGGAAATCAAAAGTTTTGACATGGGTATTCTCTTTTATAAGTAGTATAGATTAACTATACACAATTATGACAAAACAAATACCGTCCATTCATTTCAAGGGAAGAACTTGAATGACACATTAGCGACTTTTAGGGGGTGTTTGGTTGCACAATTTTATAAAAAAGTTTTTTCAGAATGTCTAACAATGGTAATTCTATAATTAATTTTTTTTGTAGATTTCCTTAAACAGTGTTTGGTTCAAAAAATTTTACAGCAATTTTTTTTCTGTTCAGTACCAAAATTTACATAAATTAATTTTATCTCAAAATGGACGAAAATCACCCAGAAATCTGACATCACATTGACACTTTTCTATAAATATAGGGGGTGTTTGGTTCAGTTTCTACAAATTATAGATAATATTGCTATTTTCTATAAACTTATTGGTCATTTTTTTGTTTTGAACCAAACAAGCAAAGTAAAAAAAATAAAAAAAATTGGTACTTTTTGACTTCTCAAACTTTTTCCTATAATTTTTTAAAGAAATACAAGAAAATCATATTTTGGGTGGAAAATATTTCCTATAATTTGTAGAAATTGAACCAAACACCCCCTTATCATAGTTTTTAGACATTTTGAAAGTTCGTTATAGTTTTTATCTATTTTAGAAAGTTTAAGAGAGTTTTGCACCACACCCCTTAAGTTTAGGGCAGTTTTGTGAAATTTACCTGCATTTAATATCTTTTTTCCAAAAAAAGAAAAAGAAAAAGAAAAACAGGAATCTATACATAACCATTTACATTTTACAGCCCATTCCAACCAGTTTCATGACTAGTAATAGGGACAAAAATACTATTAATTTAACTATTTTTATTTTAATAAGTACGTAAATATTTATTTTATTTCATTTTTCTGTCAACGAACACTTATCTTATTCACTCCCCCCTTGCGAGTGGCAGCATATAAAACCAAAACGGACCTCTATTCCCACTCCTCTCTCTCTCTCTCTCTCTCTCTCTCTAACTACTTTCTCTCTCTAAAACTCATTTCTCTCTCTCTCTCTCAGACAAC